TTCATTTATGAAGAAGGAAATACTCAAATGAATATTGTTTATATTTTATTGTGTTATTTTGATTATTCATTTTATTGAATCGTTTATCTTTTTTATTTATATTTTTATATTTAATAACTTCTTCATTTCATTCAATTTCATTTCTTTTATCACATCATTCATTATTTTTCATTTATTATATTTAATATAATGTTGATTATAATTATTGATTGTAATTTTCATTATTGATTTTTATTGGTGATTTGTTTATTTTATTATCTTATAATCATTCATATCATTTATTTTCATAATGAATGTATTTCTGTATGTTTTGTATTGTTTGAATTTGTTTTTATTAAATATTCATTTTGACTATCATCGTGTTATTTATTAATTCTAAAGAAAATAAAACATTGAAATGATGAACAATGTGTTTAAAATTAAATATACACTATTATTTGTTTTGAATATTATTTATTGATTAAATAACAAATGAAATATATAAATTGAATGAATAATAATGATAATTCATTTAATAATATTTATTATCATTTAATTTAATTGTATTTGTTGTGTTTTGTTATTAAATGAATTATAAAAATGAAGAATGGTATTGTTTTATATTTTCTTCATGTTAATTACACAAATGTTATATTTAATTTTCTCTTTATTTTATTATTTATTTTATACTTCTATAATGTCTCTTTGAATATGTCTTTTCAAACATAAAACGATATAAAAATTAAATAAAAATATGTTTTAAATGATATAAAAGTACCATGTATGTTTATTATTTGTTGTTGAAAAATATTGTTAAATATTATTCTCAACATACATTAATGTTGTTTTGTATAATGAAGAATAATTCAAATATTAGATAATTGAATTTCATTTATTTGTTATAACTATGTGTTGATATTGATTCTAAAAGTGTAAATAATTTAAAATATTCAATGAATTTCAATATAATTTATTAATTTGTATGTTTTATTTATTCAATTCTTATTAATTTTCATTTTATTCTTTCTTCATTTTTCTTCTAATATTAAATGACAATTATAAATCTTCATTTTATTATTTGTATCATTTAAAAAATATTCTAATTGTTAATTTATTTCACTTTAGTAATTGAAAAGAATTATAATAGAAAATTAAATATAAAATGATTGTTTGATGTTGATTTATTTATTCTTTATGTTGTTATATTGATTTATTGTTTATACATTTATATGTTATTTGTATGATTGATGAATATTTTAATAATGTATTTTGATATTCATCATAAAATATCATTATTTTGATATTAAAATATTCAAATTACATTCAGTTTATATTAATTCCATTCATTATTAAATTAATTACATCATACACATTTAGTTTAACTCATTTTCATTATTTGTATTTTATTTGTTTGTTTCATTATATTCTTTATTTCATTTCTTTATTCTTATATTCTCATTCTTCTTTATTTATTTTTTATTTCTTATTTTCAATTTCTTTGTTTTTATTAAATTAAACATTGATGAATTTAACTTATTTGATTTTTCTATTAGTTCAAACAAGTTTATTTCAAATAATCAAATAGTGAATTTAATATTATCATTTCTTCAATTACATCACAACACAATCAGGTTGATTTATATTACGTTTGTTTTCTGTTATAGTTCTAGTACTAATTAATTTCCATTCACCTTTTATTTCTTCTCCATTATATTTAATTTTAATTTCTCTTCTGTATGTATTTATTTCATATGTTATATCAGACTTTGTTTCTTCTATTGTTTTACCTTTTTCTTCTTTTTTCTTCATATCGAATTTCTTTATATTCACCGTTTAGTTTCTTAATTTCTTCTTCATCAATTAACTCCATTCCTCTTCCCCATTCAATTAATCTTTCTATTTCTTCTTCTGATCTGATATTATCATATTCTTCATCTGGTTGTGAATCTACATAATACATTGGTATATCAAATTCTTCATTTGTCTTATTTATTTGATTTATAAATGAAATTAATTCTTCTTTGAATTGTTCTTTGTTAATTTTACCTTTTTCAATTTTCTTTGGTGGAAGAGAATTATAACATTCAGTCCAAACAATACAAACATGTTTCCAAATGTCTTTTATTTTGAAAACATCATTTATAGTTTCAATAACTTGTTTAATATTATCAGTAAATTTACAATTAGTAAATTCTATTGTTAATATAATTCCTTGTAACCCTTCAGCTCTAACACAATTAACAATATTCTGAATATGTTTATTATCAAAATTATTAGTATCATTAATACCAGGTGTGTCAATAACAACTACATCACTTCTATCTCTTTCTCCAAAACATTTAAGATGTTTATTTGCTTCTGAATTTAGACTATCACCTACTTTAAAAATATTCTTCTGTAAAATGAAATTACCAAGTGAACTTTTACATTTTCCTGATTCTCCAATTCAAAGTAATTTGGTTTGTTTTTGTTTTAATTCATCTGTTTGTAAATTCATTATTTATTTTTAATTCCTATTTATTTAAATATTATTTCAGTGTATTTATATTTATTTTTGTTTTAAAATATCAGATATATATGTATTAGATAAAAAGAATAAAACTAGTCTATTATTTGATATGATTATTGTGGCTGATCACAATATTAATTGAGTGTGTTGGAAGAAAAGAAATATGTATAATGAATTAAAGAATATTCTAATGAAAATAGAAAAATTAAAAGATGTCAGAATAATTCCAGTAGTAATTTCAATAAATTGATTAGTAAATAAAGAAAGTAATAAATTAATTAAAGAATTAACAATTGACATTGACATCGAGAAAGAAATTAAAAACCATGTAATAAAAAACATGATGTAATGTCATGGAATACTGCTTCTATCACAACCAAACATACTCCGTAGAGATGGTAGAAGAAAACATATGGAATTAGTCAGTCTTTAATGAAAAAAGAACAATAAAATTAATTCTTATTTAATTACTTTTAATTTAATTTTTTATTATATTATTAACTAAAAATAAAATAAAAGAAAAATTTCTTAACATCATTTAGTATGTTCAGTTTTTCCTCTAAAACTGCTATTTCATCCAAATCTCAACAATACATACCTACAAAACCTATGGCTGCTCCTCGTAGGGTTGAACAATTATCAGTAAATTCTCCTCTTAAAAAAGAAATTGAAAGTAAACCAAAAAAAGATGATGAAAAAAAGCCAACCCAATTGTCGTTGGATATGTTTGATATTGGAAAACCACTTGGTCAAGGAAAATTTGGAAATGTTTATCTTGTAAAATACAAAAAATAGTTTGTTTTAGATATTCATTTATTAAATAAGGAGGAGTTAATTCTTTAGTGACTATGTTTGTGCATTAAAAGTTATATTTAAAAGACAATTACAAAAATGCGAGATGGGAATTCAAATGAAAAGAGAGATTGAATTACAATCTCATCTTAATCATCCTAATATTCTCAAATTATTCGGATTTTTTGAAGATAAAAACAGGTGGTTCCTTGTTCTTGAATATTGTAAGAAAGGTGAATTATATAGGTTATTACAACAAGCTGGTCGTTTTGATGAAAGAAGAGCTGCTCGATACATAAAAGCAACAACTGAAGCTTTAAAGTATTGTCAAGAGATGAATTGTATTCATCGTGATTTAAAACCAGAAAACATCATGATAGATCACAATGATCAAGTCAAATTAGCTGACTTTGGATGGTCTGTTCAAGCCAAGACAAAAAGAAATACTTATTGTGGTACATTAGATTATTTATGTCCTGAAATTGTATTAGAAAAATATTATGATGGATCGATTGGTCAATGGTGTTTAGGAGTTTTAACATTTGAACTATGTACTGGTGAACCTCCATTTCAATCTAACAGTCGTGAAGAGGTTATGAAAAAAGTCAGAAATGTTAAATATTCTTTTCCAAGCTATCTCACAAATGATTGCAAAGATTTTATTAACAAACTAATTCAATATGATCCTTCTAAAAGAATGAGTTTTGCTGAGTGTTTAGTTCATCCATGGATAGTCAAAAACACAACAAATTGACTTTTATTTTCTCGTTATTTTATTTTTTTGTGTATTTAAACTTAAAAACAATAATTAATGGAAAAACAATGGGAAAAATATCAAATTTTACATTCTAAAGATGTAATACTTGAAGACTCACATGATTGGACATTAAATACATTATCACGTGTTGGTGTTTGTTTATTTTGTTTGTTTATAAGTAGAACATTATTAATTGATATGATAAATTATTAATAATTAGGGATTGGATATTTCATTTTCAACAAATCATCAAAATCTTGCAATTGGTTGTTTAGTTGTTTGTGAATATCCTTCTGGAAAAGAGTTATTAACATTAACATGTCGTAAAATAATTACAATTCCTTATATTTCAGGATTTCTTGGATTTAGAGAAGTAGAAGTTTATCATGAACTACTCAACGATTGTAAAGAAAAGTACCCTGAGTTATATCCACAAGTTGTGCTTGTTGATGGAAATGGATATTATCATCCTCGAAGATTTGGTTCTGCAACTCATGTTGGAGTTTATTGTGATATACCATCAATTGGTGTTGCAAAAGTTTGTGTTTTTTGTGTTTTATCCACAGAATAGTTGTAAGAATGTAGACTGTATTATGTGTTGATGGGATAGGAAAGAAGGAGATTAATATAATTACTTCACAAATCAAACCAGGTGAATCAACTACAGTTAGTACTTCAAATGGAGAAGTGTTATGTGAGGTTATAAGAAGTAGAGGTGGTAGTATAAATCCAATCATTGTTAGTTGTGGGAATAAAGTTTCACTTTCAACAGCAGTAATTATCTGTAAAGAATGTTGTTTACATAAAATCCCAGAGCCTATTCGACTAGCTGATTTAATTTCAAGAAAGTTGTTAAGAGATGAAGGATTACTCCCACACATGAATTAGAGATAAGCAAAACAAAACGAAGATTAAAATTATTACATATAAATGAAAAGTCAACAATATATTTCTTTTCAAAAAAAAGGAATTAACAAATTAAACTTCAATCAATCATTTACAATGATTAAAAAAGATACAACTTGAAGAGATTTATCTGTCAAATATTGTATTATATTTTAATAACATAAAAACAGGTGAATTGTTTACATTAATAAATAAAAAATGTAAAGACTCACTTCAAATGTTACATATCAATCCATCATATTCTGTTGAGAAAGTTAATGAATATTTTCATATTAAAGAATGTAATTTTCAACTCCAAAAATCGTTTATAAAAGAAATGAAAGTATTCCCTCATCTTGAAACAGTGTGATTTACAGAACAAATTATTCAATTTCTTCCATTAATTCCTTCACAAATTAAATTGATTCGACTTCTGTTATTAATACAAAATCTACAATATTAAGAAATGATTATTAGAAAGTAAGAATTGCTTCATTAACATTAAAAAATCCTAAATACTCTTTTGATCTTTCAGAATTTACTTCTTTAACAAGTCTATCACTTAATATTAAGAAACACATAAGAGTTAATGATTTTATTAGAAATAAATATCATCGTTTTGAAAGAGTCTATGTTATGATGGAAGGATTTGTTGATATCAACTTTATTAATCACATTGATCAATTCAATATTAGAAAAGTAATTATTGAATTTGATAAACAAGAAATATTAGAATCAGTCATTAAAAATAAGAAACTCCTTAAAAGAATTACATTTTGTTACAAAGAATGTTATTGTACTATTTCTAATGATGGTATTATTCACAATAAACGATTAGTTGATGGATTTGAAATAACAGAAAAAGGATTTAATAATGATACAATACTTCAGTATTATCCTGAACATATAAAAATAAATGGATTTATCAACAAGAAAATTGAAATGGATTTTAGTTCATTCACATTCATAAAATCAATCAAATCAACAACATCTTCAATTTGTTTCAATCAACCAACTCCTTTAACACATTTAGATTCAAAATATTTCTATGAAATATCTTCTCTTAAAGAATTACATCTTCAATGAAAATATATTCAACATTTATCTCTTCCTAATAATTTAACAGCTTTAACAATTACTGATTTTATTCAAATTTCTCATTATTCTCAATTAATTCGACTTTCTTTGTGCTCAAACAAATCATTTCCAATTATGTTATATCGAATGTTAACATATTTGTCATTGTCATGTAATACTTGTGGTAGTCTTTGTTTATTAACACAATTAAAAGTGTTGTACTTAAACAAAATCATTAAAAGTGTTGATGTTGAATCATTTTATCCTACTTCATTGGAATTTTTACAATGTTATTCTAATTCTTTACCAAAGAAATTATTAATTACACAATTAGTATTAAATGATTCTTTAAACAACATAATATCCAATATTATTCACATCTTTGTAGTTTAAAAACATTGGGATTAATTTCATATTCAACTTTACTTCCTTCTTCTTTGACTTCTTTAACTGTATCATGTTTTGGTTTATCACAAAGTCATATATCATTTAGTGAATTAAATTGTATTAAAGTTAAGCAACTTCACACTGAAAAATGTAATACTCATAATGTAGAATTACCATCTTATCTTGATTCACTTTATCTTCATTATTCTGAGTTTAAAATAACCAATACAAATATATTTTATACTTTGATTCTTAATGAAAGTAAAATTAATGGAGAAATGATTCAAAAAGAATTTATAAAGAATTTCTATTGCAAAAGATCAAAAGAAAGTGAGTTTATTAACATTGAATTGTATTTATCACTTCCTCAAGTAAAATTTTGTTATTGTCAGAAATAAAAAATTTGTTATTTTTACGTTAGTTTTAAAACTAATAAAAATAATTAATTGATGAATAATGAAGTTTCAATATTCTTTTATGGCGATTCAAATCTTTATGGAATTGAAGCTGTGACTTATAAACGTTATTCTTCCAAAGACCGATTTTCTAACATTGTCATTGAACAATTAAAAAAAGAATTTACAAAAGTCAATTGTATTGTTGATGGAAAACCTGCTCGTTCATTGAAATATGAAAACATCCCATTTGGCATTACTAATGGATTAAAAGACTATGATCAATTCTTATTAAAGATTACCTCCAATCCATTTTCAACAAACAAAGTATTAATCCTTGCATTATGTATTAATGACATTCTTTCAAAAGCAACTTCACAACAAGTTATTGATGCATTGCAACAATACATCGAAAAAGTACAAAAACAAACAAAAATAATTATTTTAATTCCACCACCACTTCAATATTGTACATTTGATAGTTGGAAATCCACAGTAAATCCAGTGATTGCAGAATCATTGAATTTTGTTCATCAATTAAAAATTGTTGTTGAAATGTGGAAAAAGCAAGAAATAATAGATGGATTTGTTGATTTAGATGGAATGAGTGTTGGAGCAGATGGTGTTCATTTCACATCTGATTCACATCACAAAATTGCAGAAAAGTTACTTTCAATTCTTCATGATGTTTTAAATTGAATTATTTTTCGCAGAATTATAAAGTCAAACAGGAATAAGACACAATATAAAAGAACTTAGACTAATTGAAGAAGAAGTAAGACTTTTTATGACAATAAAATCAATAGTTATTTATGCTGATGAAGGGACTATTGATGTTTGTGTTTATTACTCAATAAAAATGCTTCATTCTCAATACCAAGAAGCTCAAATAAGAAAAATATATGCTAATGAGTTAATTGAAGGTAAATGGATTTATGAAACTGATTTGTTTGTTATGCCAGGTGGTGCTGATCGTCCATTTCACAAAAAACTCAATGGCAAAGGAGTTGAAGTATTAAAAGAATTTATTAATAATGGTGGAAAGTATCTTGGAATTTGTGCAGGAGCATATTTTGCATCATCATTTATTGAATTTAATAAAGATGTTGCAAATGAATTAACACTATGTGAAGAAAGAACATTAAAACTCTTCAATGGGATTGCTCATAAACCAATGTATCAAGGATTTGAAGAATATTCTGAACGAGGAGCTGTCATAATTCCTATTTATTATCAAAACAATGAAAAAGTCGAACTTTATTATAATGGAGGATGTTCATTTGTTGACAATTTAAATCAATACAAAGAGAGTCATTTTCTTGCAAAATATCAAAATGGAATGAATGCATTATTCTTTGACGTTATTGGTAAAGGAAAAGTTATTCTTTCTGGTCCTCATTTTGAATTAGACATAGAATGGTGTGGTAAAATGCTTAAAGAAAGTCAGAAAAGTGAATTTGAAATAAAGAGAAAACTCTTTTTGAAATATATTTTTTCATACTTTTAATTCCATCATTGTTTAATCATCTTCATTTTTATTATTTCATTTGATGATCACTACTATCAGAGTGTATAATGACATTGGAACATCTACTCTTTGTGTTTATAACACAATTCATTTATTTCATCATTTTTTCCCTTGTGCTAATGTTTTTGTAATTTCTTCTTCCGAAATTAAGACGAGTCAATGGGTTGAAAATACTGATTTGTTAGTCATTCCTGGAGGTGAGGATTTGCCATATCTTGACAAACTTCAGATGGATGGAATTGAATTGATTAAGTCGTTTGTTCTCAATGGCGGAAAGTTCTTAGGGATATGTGCTGGAGCATATTTTTCATCATCATACATTAAGTTCAATGCAAATTCACAATTACCCATTGAAGGAGAACGTTACTTAAAATTTTACGAAGGAAATGCAATTGGTCCAGTGTATGATGGATATCAACCAAATAGTGAGTCAGGTGCACATATAGTAAAGATAAAGTACAATAATAGTTATGCGTAAGTTTATTATAATGGAGGTTGTTATTTTGATGACAATAACAGTAAAGTAGAAGGTACTTATTTTGCGTTGTATGAAGATGGCAAACCATGTGGATATACTAGAAGATATGGAAAAGGCAAAATTCTCATCACGGGATTTCATTTTGAGTTTGATGAACATTGTTGTTCTCATTTGTTAAGTCAATTAAGGTATGACGATTTTGAATTAAGAAGAGAAAGTCTTATTAGATACATTTTATCATTATTGAGTGATTGATAACAAAGGGATATTGATTGTTTTGTACAGAAGAGAATAGACAACAAGATGAAGAGAGTCATTTGAGGTTAAAGTGAGATATGTTCAATAACATAATTAAGAAATGTACTAAGAAAATGAATAAAATCAAAATGGAATTTAATAACACAAAGAATATGAGTTAATAAAACAATAAAGACAAAATAAATCAATGGAGAATAACGAGGAGATTTAAAGAAAAAACAAACCAGTGTTATGATGTACAAATAATCATAACATAATACAAACATACTTTATTTGCTTAAATAGAAAGTATTGTTTTTTTGATTCATCATTTTTTCTTCTAATAAATTTGTTTTTTATTTTTGTTATTATAAAAATAAGTCAATTAAAAATAGAATAATTGATAATTTCATTTTTATATCATATCAATTCCTTATAAATATCATGTTATAATTAATTGTTAAATGGTTAGAATAATAAGGAGATAGTACATTGAATTTATTAATTCAAATTCAGATTAGTGTTTGATTATTTTTATTTTGTCAGTTTGAAGATAAACATGATATTCTTTCAGTGAATGAAAAATCCTAAATTAATCAAAATTATATGTGTTATGAATATTATAATAATAAATAGTAGTCATAAGACATATGAATAGATAAAATAAATATAGAATAACGAATATAAAGACAAGAGAAATATAAAAGGGTAAGAAAATGAAGAATATAAAAGACAATAAAGAAATAATTATGAAGATAAAATGAAAGAAAATTCACAATTGAAAATGAAATTACAAAGATATAACAAAATTCACAACAATTATATTTAAACAATAAATATGAAATAAATTAATGTCAATAAGAATTATTCATTTAATTCAATACATTAATTACAATATATCAAATACAAGAAGAAGAAATAATAAAGAATAGAAAATGAAAAAAAGAAATACATGAAATATAAAATAAAATAACAAATCATCATAAATATTTAAAATAAAGAATAAAATAGAAAAGATGATAAATGAATAAATTGAAGAAATGATAGAAAATAACAATAATATAAGAATAAAGAAGAATAACAATCACAAATAATGAATTTAAGTAATTTATATAAATGAATAAAATAAAGAATAACATCAAAATAATGATAGAAAAAAAAAGAATAATAAAATATATAAATAATATACAATAATACACGAAATTGAATTTATTTACATTTTATAAATTATCAAATATGTATAAAATGATAATAATTAAATGAAATAAATTTAATTCAATCAAATTACAACATAATAATATTTCCAAACACGAAATGAGAGCAATAAGAAATAAATAATAAAATATAGAATAAATAGAAATAAATTAGATGAAAAGATATTTAGAAACAAACAAAACATAAAATAATAATAAAAACAAATAATATAAAAAACAAAATGTAAAGTTGTAATAAATAATAGAAATAACAATATTTCATGAATAACAAATAGAAATGAATAAAAGAAGAAATATACAGATATATTCAAATATAATGTAATATTTAATTCAATTAATACAGATTTAAAAACAAATAAATAGAATTAAAATAAATAAAGAGAAGTAATAAAAACAATATTTAATTTACAATCAAATAAGTGTGAATTGAATAATGAACTAATTAGTTGAGTATATTTTATGTAATTTATCAAATAGACATTCATATAGAATGAATTTAGATGAATGAAAGTGGATAATTCAATAAATTTATTTATTTTTAACAACAGTTAAATGAAATGTTAGTTTATAATATTTCATTGGAAGGTATACATTTAACCGTTTGATAAATAAAAACAACAAATGATTAGTGAAAATATTAT